CCAACAACCCCCCCCCCCCCCCCCCTTCCCCTTGTTTCGCTCTACATCCCTGTACAGTTACACAGAAGGGAATCGATATGATGTTCGTAATGATAGGTATCTATTTTTGAAGAAGACACAGTTTCATCATCTCTCACCATTCATCAACCATATCCACCACCTAGCACCCTACCCTACAATACTTGCATGGTTTTCTTCTGTTGTTTTCGATTCTCTGGCCGCCATGACCCAATTTGGTACAATTACCCGCCTTTCCCCTTCCGACACCTCTATCCAATGGAGATGTATCTGGATCAGCCTCATTGTTCGGCAAGGCCACACAGGAGCTGTGCCGGTGCCCGTCGTCAGCCTCAAGCCACCTTTTCAAACTTGAAAGTACACGCCCCCTCCTCCCTCAAAAGCAACTCTCTTGGCGCGCTCGGCATCTCTGCCGTCATGAGGCTGTACTACATCGAGCTGCTTGCATAGTGACAACAGCAGGATGCTGCAAGGTGCACCTTTCAGCCCCCTCCAAGGGACCCCGGATTATCCACGTTGGTGGCGTCCATCAAGACTCCCCGTTCCCTCGTCGCACTCCACACCCCCATCCATTCGGAGAATGGCAGGGGCCTAAGAACAGACCGGATGATGGTGTTTGCTAACCGGTGCCCCTCTTTGGGTGGGTTGCGCGACAGGTCGAGATTCTCAAACTGGAAAATTCATTGGCTGCAGCCCGACATCGGTTGGGCGAGATGCGTAAGATTTCGTACCAGGAGGAGTAGGATGTAAGGGTAGCTGGGAAAGAGAGAGGGAGAGAGAGAGAGAGAGGCGGGAGAAAGTAGCATACAGTTTGTTATACTCCGTACATAACATGTCAAAAGGCACAGCCCTACGAGCAAACATGCTCTGGACTCGTTGCCTCTTGACTTTGAATGTTTGTTTCATTTGTTTGTTTGTATTTGTCCTTGGTGCATGACGTTGTGTCTGACTTTGTTCACTTTTTCTTTTTTTTTTTTTTGGGGCGTTCTTGATGTTATGTCCCCTCCCCCTTGTCTACATTTCAAGTGTCAAGTAGCCGTCACGATAGTATGTGCATCACCTCATAGCCCCTGAGTATGAGCAAGTCTGCGATCATTGCGGGCTGGGTCCTTGCTGCCGCGGGCACAAAGCCTCGTGTCGTGGAAGCTTCGTGGTATATCACCAAGGGCGGCGCCTGCCTGCCACCTTAGTCAAACATTTGTTCAAGAGACCCAGCGAATTAGTCAAGATGGGAAATTTTGGCCCGATCTTGACAACGCCAAGGCCGGCCTTGATCTTCAGCCAAGTGGTTTCACAAAGATTTGCAGGGGTGAAGAGTACCGCCATGCATGGTCTAGATCAATGAGGCCGAGGAGGGGTGCGCGAAAAACATGTTTAAATGGCCAAGTGAGAACTGGACAATATGAGATCTGAGCTCGAGGGGTGAAAGATCTGAGCGTCGGAGACTGCGACAAAGGAGGGCAAATTAGCCCAATTAGCCTTGATAGCACGATTGACCTAATAGGGCAATTGCCCTCTTTTCAATGGAAAAAAGCCGCCAAAAAGTTTATCATGCAATTGTAATTGCACTCGTTCAATTCAAGAAAATGCCACGATTGTGAAAGTGTCGCTCAGTTATATATATAAAAGTATCCAGCCTAGGAAAACCTCCGGCCTCAATTTTCAGTGGCTTACGCCAGCGGCGCAATTGCAAGATGATCGTAGGTCTCGTGTGGGTGGGAGGGAGGCTATCCGAAACTTTGCTGTGCGGTTTGGAAGCCAAAGTCCAAACTAGTGCATGATGATAGGGCGAGAGGAAGAGATGGCAACGGTGCCGCCCAGCGAGGCTGGCGTTGCATCATCTATCTCCAGAGGGGGCGTTGAGGGCACTTATTTATGCTAATCGAGCGTCAACATTGGTGGCTTAATGGGCCTTGGACATTTCCGAGGAACTTGACATCAACTAAGAACGACAAATAGACTTTAGGAACACGCGGGAAAAGAAAAAGAAAAGAAAAGAAAAGACGACGACGACGACGACGACGACGACGACGACGACGCGAATGATGCAGTTCGACACATCATGGATCTCTTTAGAGGTGCGCTCCGCTCCTTGCGCCCGTTCCAAGTATTTGTGCACTAACATCACCTTAGAAGGTGGAGGATCGGGATTGCTTACGAGAACTCAACTTATGGCCCTCTTGCGTAATCGTGACCTCACCAATGTCCTCTTCAGTGACAACGCCGAGGACGAAGGCATCCTAAGTCACTGGGGAATCCGCAGACGACGTCAGCCCAAGGATCCTAATCGGTTTCCAAAAGTACCCAGTGAAGAAGGACTCCAACTCATGCGTGCTGGTGCTTTTGGTACAAACGACTACAAGCTCCGCATGCGAAAGCACATTGCTAGGCGTATGTTGGAGCGAGAGCTTGGCGTTGGAGACGACGAAGAAAGACGACGAAATGGCGACTTGATTACTCAGGTACGTTTTTTTTTTTGGTTAAGTCGCGACGACGACGACGACGACGACGACGGCACAATCTTAATCAAGCGGCCGAATCGTGGCATTCGATTTTGCATGGCTTAGAGTGCCACATCCGGACCTGCAGTCGTCCATTAGCACCTTTAACCAGCAAAATGAAGTTGCCCAGATGAAAATGGGGTTTCGTGTAAGTCCCTTGACCGTGTTTCTATGGTAATCGTCCTACCAACCCCCCCTAGATATCTCTTGAGCCGGCGTAGAGCTCTGGCATATAGGGACAACAAAAAAACACAAATAGTCTCGCATCTCGCACCTCGCACGCTCTTTCAGCCGTGTCGGACCATTTTTGCGCCAGTAGCCGTCAATATTGCACCGGCACTAGATCGAGCTGTTGCTTAGGGTTGCATTTCGCCAAGCGTCCTGGGGAATCGATGCGCCATCCGCTCGGGTTGATCTCAGGTGACCAGGTGGGCATGCGTCTATCCTTGTCACACCTCCAATGTGGCGTCGGGACGACGGGTTGGCACCCTGCTGAGAAATACTCCGTGCTCCATATTACACGGTTTGTACACGGACAAAATACTCCGTACGGATCGTCGTCATTGGCGTTGCCATCATTTGCCCAGCTTCTCTACCTTGGACAAGTGCCGTGGACTGGGCACATCTTGGGGCTATTGCTGAAGCATCGCTTGATGACCCGAAGGCAACTTGTGTATTTGTTTCAGCCAGGACCGTTCAAAGGGCAGCAAACAAATGTAGATAACCAAGTGCTGGCTATATTTGGAATTTGTGAGCGCACACAGACACGGTGGATTGACCAAGCTGGGTAAATACTTACGAGGAGCATTTGCCTGCCGCTTCACGTTGGTGAAGGCTAATGTTGTTGAGGAAGGTCTCGCCGCCGCCACCGGGGCCTCATAAAGAGGAATTGAGAGAATTGTCCGCAACCTGCAGCCCGCAGCGTGTAAAACGTCTGGTCTGAGCAAGAAGTGAACTTCCCGCTTGCGCAGTCAATTCCTCACGATGAGAGGCCAGGAGGAGGGGGTGTGGATAGCAAGTCAACGAGATGGAGAAGACGATGAAAGCTATTGTGGATCTTGTGTGCCCCGTGCGCCATGGCCCGTGCCATGAGCCTCCAAAAACAAGGTGAGGATAAAGTCATGACAGCTGTATGTGGGGCTGGGGACGTTGGCGAAGCGTTGGGCGGAGCGTTGGCACTAAGTGCTTTAGCATGAACAAATGCTCCATAGTTTGATAGAACGAATATTGATCGGTCGCGGGAGCTAAGGGACGATCAAATGGCCAAGCAGGCGACTGCTAGAGGTCGTCTCAACGAGGGGGGGCGCCTGGAAGAGACCGCAACGACAGACGGTGAAAGAGACGTGGCGGCGGCGACGACGACACAGAGCAACTTTCTCCAGGTCCTTAGCTCCAAGCCCATCAATAGATCTTGATCACAGAGTCTCAGCCCTGCAATGTCTGCCAAGACGACTAGTAGACGACTAGCGTGGCCCAACGCCTGGCGTCGATTAGCACAAAAGAAGTGCCATCACGGTCTGCCTCCACTGGGGCACGCAATTCGCGCCATCCCAAGAGCCGCGATGCCCGAGCTTCCAATCCTTGATGCCTCTAATAGACTATGGAGTATATGAGGTGCGCAGGTTGGTCGGTGATGCGAGAACGTGACAGTCATAGTACCCGGTCGACTTCCTCCCACTGCCAAATGCGTGCCAGGCAGCCAAAAATGCACTTATACAGCGTCGTCCGCAGTCTATTATTGGATCCAATAGTGCGAACACCGGGACGTCGGGACATAATATCCCTCACCAAGCTTGACAAAAACAGACAAACGGACCAGGGAGTAAGGAAAATCACGCATCAGGATATATCAAAGTCGAAACAACGATATACCATCAACTGCTAGTCCTCAGATCTGCATGCAAAGTCGCAACGTGCCTGTCACACACAAGCTAGAAGCCTTCTGTACCAATTCCCCAGGCTTTGCAATCGAGAAGCAAGCCATGGTAGACCCCAACCTGTATTCCATCCATTCTGCATCGTAGCAGGAGTCTTTGGGCTTGTCGCTAGCCCACATTGGGCTCGCCCACCCTTTGTAGACGAATGTCGGGCATTGCCGATTGGTCTGCATGCAGCCTTGAACAATCGGGAGGCCGTTTCAATTGTTGCCTCTTTATTCGGACATGTCCGAGGAGTGGCTGTGTCTGCTTCCAAGCGCCAAAGTCTTCGAGATCGTTATCGATCAAGAATGAAGCGTTGTAAAAGTGGCCTTTGACGCCTCGGGAATTGGAGGCAATTCTACCCACAATGGTCGGGGGAAGACATGGAGTACAGTACACCAGCTCTGATACTTTTGTAAAAGCAAGGAACGGCAATGGCAATCGCAGGCCAACAGCTCTGGTGTAGAGTTATTGGGCGGTGAACAGTTGATTCATGTCGATACCATTAGTAGGCGAGAATGTCTTTGTGATGATTGAGACTGACTTCGCTTGCCACGTGGAATTGGCCACAGCGCCGGCAGCTACCGCTAGATGACGAACCGAATCAATTATGTTGTCTTGAGTAGAGAGCGGAAATTGACAAAAACGAAGACAGAGGGGGAGGAGAGGAGAAAGAGAAAGAAGCAGGAGCAGCTCGTGGATGTGGGACGTCGCCGATGGTGGCGGGTGAAGGAAACGTACAAATGCCGTGATAGACTCTGCCATTGTCTAGAACAGCGGACCGAGAGACTGAATGAGGCGGAAACCTGATATCAGAGACATGTCGAAACACTGCGGAGCGAGCTGCAGAGGCCGGTTGGAGCCAGAACGATGGACGACTCAGATCGAGGTACTCCGTACGAAGATGCTGGCGAAGTGGAGTGACTTTGGGCCACGAAACGGACGTCCTACATACATACATACACCGCATACATCGGGGAAGATGGAGAGGGAGAATGCTCAGCGTTTTGAGGAGTCGACCTTTGCTTTTCTCAAGTTGGCCAGTTAGCTTCAAGTTTAAACGCTGCCAGGGCAGCACGTGCGTCAAAATGTGACAAAAATGCTACTACCAGGTTACCAGACTTACCTACCAGGCTACTTGCCTAGGTAGGGGTACCCAGACGTAGCTACCTGGTACCCAAAGTACTAGATAGATGTGACCTTACTCAGCAGGGGCTCGTTAAAATCATGGCCACGCGTATCCTGACACGACCGATGGTCCCTGTCTGCCCGTCACGTATTTGATCCTCAGCTTCAGTCCCCGGTCGTGTGAGACATTGGTGTTAATTTCGGCTGCCCTACTACTCGAATTTCATCTCCTTGCGTGGAGACTAGACTTTACAGTACAATAACGCTCGGTAGTCTATCCGGAACACGTGCAGAGGTATTCAACTGAACACTCGTATATCTCACGTGTCCGACCAAAGAACCATCTGTCACTTGTCATTTCAGGAGGCCATCGTACTACCTGACAGCGCCAGTCCCGGCTGCTGAGGACTTGAGACCTTGTTCTGAACCCCTCCAAATTTCTTGCAGATGCCGGGTTGGTTGGTTAAGGCCGGGCGGCGCTCGTTGCCTGCCGGAAGCCTTGGCGCGCCTGTCCAATGCTCAATACCCAGCAATGGAGCAATGCAGTAATGGCTGACATCAGAGACAGACATGATTGAATGATTGGAATACTAGCCTATTCCTCTGCGACGACCTCCATGCTCTTTGTTTGGCGCTCGCTCCCCCACTGAGGCTACGATTTTGCCAGCGATATCCGCGTGGCGCCCCCCAGGCTGCGTCTCCAATCGTCTTCCCACCACCCTTCTCCTCCATCTCAGATGAGTTCAGATGGCAGCGACACTGACAGGTTGTATCTGTGGTGATGCTATAGCCAAACGGTCCCGTCTACTCTTCTTCGTTTCTCGAAAACTGCTGATGACGTCTCCTAACCATTCCCGAAGTCATATTGTCTAGGCCTGGCTGGGGCAGGATCTGGTGGACTAAATACCTGTTGCTGTGGCCGTTCTGTTGGTCTCTTCCAGGTCTAGTATGAATACTAAATCCCGTCACCTGAAATTTTGGTTCGAATAATTCGTGCCATCTTGATCCTGGCACCATTCAAATTTGAACCGAGCTCTGAATCTAGTGGACAACTCTGGGTCGCATGTTGGCCGCACTATCTGCATAGTTGATTGAGTCGGTAATCGCACACTCTTAACGCCGACCTTGGCCCCAGGATACGCCGTATTGAAGCATACCCGTACGTATTGAGCAAGCTCGGTACACAGGATTGTACTTGCGCGATGTCCGTTTCATCTCGGGAGTGGATCCGTCCGAGTGTCGAGACACAAAGTTGGTTGTTGGGTCGCACCCGTGCGGAAACGAGCCACAGAAGAATGGCATTCTTGCAATGCATGCAATTTGTACTCCCTACACCAGCATAATGCCTAGAAAACCCATCACTATGGGAAGTTGATGTATTGCCAAGCGGAGCCGGCCATGGCACTTGGACTTCGGACCCGTACCTGGACGTTGGCTACGCGTGTGCAACCGCCCCCGTTGTATGGTCCCGAAAAAGCAAACAAAACCAGTCGCTTGAGAGGTTTGAGAAAATCACCAACTCTTGCAAGCAATGCCATCCTTGAGCGTTGCATTGTTTGCACTCTTGACCCCATGCTAGGTAGTCAACCGTGGTTGCATTACAAGACCGTGGGTGGAGCTGTTAGTTGGGTTGCTGGACTCAACAGCCTTCCGTCCAACAACGCTGCTTGGGCCATGGTGCTACTAGATGGTGTGCTAAGTATGTGCTGTATGCGCACTAATCATGTCCATCTCTTGCTTTTTGTCTCAAATATTGGCGTCATTCGGGTCTGTTCCAGAGGCCTTTGACACCCCGTTCCGGAACGGGTTCGTCCGTGCGACAAAGTTGTTGGCGTTTGCTCTATATTCGCGCTATCACAGTGTCCGAGTTCTTGAGGTCGTCCTGAGTTCACCATTGTGCCTGGCGTCTTCGAAACCTACGGGCCGAGCAGCACAGGCGAAGCTTTGGACTCATGCATGACGACGATCGACGTGCACGGCCTAGAGGGCAGAGGCTGCAGCTCTGGCTTCACTCGGCCGGGTAGACAGAATTTGTCACAGACAAAAAGGTAGGCTGCATGCTCAGAGCTCCTATGGGGAAAACCAAGACTTACAAATAAAGAAACAATGACGCAGGGATCAATTCACAGATCCCGAAATTCTGTGCAAGGGTTTGCCAATGCCGACTCCCAACT